ACAAGGCACTCACTGCAATAGTTTACAAAGGTAGTTTTATTGAACTTAACTCTCTCACAGTGTGGGTCTCCTCTGTGAAGCTGATTCTTTGTCTCAGTTCATCGAGAGCGATGCCAATCCAATGCTTTCCCCTTGGGAAATCACTGCAAAAATCAGTAGCACCTGTAATATCTATCAGTGACAGACACTACAAGCAGGTTAACTCTGTACTGAAAACAATGCCATTCCTGCAGGATTTAAACAGGGGAGCAAAGGCCCCAAGACCACTTCATTTTTAACTATTTTCATTAACCTCTTGTTTTACATTAAAGTGACTGCCCGACCTTCAAAAGCTACTGCTGTTCTGAGTTCAAAAAATTGAAAAGTCCCTGTTTAGGAGTATTTGGGAGTAGGGTACTGCTGTAGTGCTTTTTTTCCTGTGTATTTTTCTTATTTTTTACTGCTTAATTTTTTTTGTTTTAATCTAGGTTTTTTGATTGGATATGTTCTATCGGAAAAAAAAAGGGTTTTCATAAAACAGTGTAGAAATGTAAATATTTTAATTATAATCTTATGGTTTTGTGCTTTACCTACTTATTTTTCTTTGCTCTCTAACAATACATGACAGACTTATGATTCATGGCTATCCTTCCCTCAAAAGGGGGGTTATCAACCTAATGGCCGCATTAAGCCTGACCCCTACACTACACCGGACAGTCTGTTAATTGCTGCAAATAAATGGATCCGACTTGCCTTCACTGTCTGCACCGCGAGGGCGCTGCGCGTAGAACTCATGCAAGCTGCTCCTCATGGTTCCCTGGCACCATGGAAGAGGCCCTTCAAGAAGTAAGTGGTCGCTCTTAACTCTAAACCCCATTCCCTGCCATTTGATCACAGCTTGAAGTACAAATCACAGTACATTACAGTGTTCTATTTAGTTTTTTTACTTTAACTCTATTAGAGATGTAATACAGTGTTAAGCCACAAGATAGCACCTAATGATTCATTTTTTATTTGTTGACATAACAGTGTACAATATATTCAAATTATATATATTTCACAGTGTACAATATAGCTAAACTGTGTGTATTTAAAATAATATATACACACACCACTGCATTAAACCACTTGTAAAGTTACAGTTCGTTTTTTTCCATTAATAGCTTTGTTTGTTTTTTTGTAACAATAACTGTTATTGCTCACCCTTCCTCCCATCCTCTTACTCCTACTGTATATGATGTCATGAAATTCAAATGCCTATTTTTCTCTTGGTTTGATGTTAGTGACAGCTTACCAGCCCCTGCAGGATTGCCATGAGTGGTAATTAAGGATTGGATTTCTGGTGGTATCCACTATTTGAGTAAACAATCTCTCTGCCAGGATATATTTCTCTGCATGAATAGCCGAGAGTGTGTAATTTTGCCTGTCTATGAATTTGTGACATTGTGTATATAAGTGTGTGAATGTGTGCAGGCCTGTATTTACTGTGAGGCTACACTGACCCCAAATGCCCTTGAAGATGCCCTGTTAGCCTTGTGTTCTAGGGAGCCTAAGGGACCCCCGAGGCGTTCAGCTAATATTGCAGTCGGGCGGCGAGGGATTGCTATCCTCTGTAATCTTCTTGCTCTGCTCCCTGGTGGACCCTGCCGTGAGGCCGGGAGACAGAATATGATGTCACTCCAGCCCTGGCATCACTGAAGGGTGCGCAAGGGAACAGAGCAGGAAGATTACAGCTTCCTTGCCACCTCTACATCCAGATGCCCAGCAGCCTGCACATCAACCACCTTAGTCGCAAACACAGCTGCCCAGCAGCCTGCACAAGCAGCCCAGCCAGCAACCACACGGGACCACAAGAAATAATCCACTCCAGCTCTCCCAAGGTAATTTGTGAGTATTTAAGAAAATGTGTGTCTGTCAGTGAGTGTGTGTGTCTGTCAGTGAGTGTATGTGTGTCCGTCAGTGACTGTATGTGTGTGTGTGTCAGTGACTGTGTGTGTCTGTCAGTGAATGTGTGTGGCAGTGAGCATGTAGCTGTCAGTCTGTGAGTGAATTTTTGTGGGTGTATGTCAGTGTGTCAAATGATGTGTGTACCTGTGAGTGTGTGTGTCAAATCAGTGAGAGTGTGTGTATGGCAATAAGTGTATATCAGTGTATGTGTATCTGAGAGTGTGTGCCTGTCAGTGTGTGTTTGTCAGTGAAAGTGTGTTGGTTAAAAAGCATGTGTGCTGATGACCAGATATGATGTGCATCTATCAGTGAAAATATGTCAGTGTATGTATCAGTGAGGGTGTGTGTCTGTCAGTAAAAGTGAGTTTCGGTCTTAAACAGGAAGAGGTGCAGCCTTGATAGGAAGGGGTGGGGTAAATTTAATTAGTTTTCCTGCCATTATGCCACCAGTTTATCATAAACACCACATCACTCTCAAGGACATTCATCCACAGCCACATCAATCTCAGGGACATGCCCCCACAGGACATTACTGTCAGTGTCATGCACCTACAGTGACATCTCTCACAGGGACATACCCCCACAGTGAAATCACTTCCAAGTACATATCCCCGATGTATCCCCCTAAAGCAACATCCTTCTCCCAATGCATACCCTCCACTTGACATACCTCTTGACATACATAACTCTAAAACGATATGCTGCTCTAAGTACATTCCTCCCTTTGGTATCCCCAGTACGTACCCACCAAAAGCCACTGATAAAACCACTTTTTCAGGCAGAGAAATCCACATCCTTATTGTTCTTATTGTAAAAACCCTTTCATTTGCATTAGGCTAAATCTCCTTTCTCCTAGTCTGATTGCATAACCTAGCATCCTATGTATAGTCCTGTTTATGCCAATTTCCAGACAATGGTTTGTACTGGTCCCGAATATATTTGTATAATGCTATCATACCCCTTCTGAGGCCCTGTTTTTCCTCACTAAAGAGATTTAAATGTGTTAACCTTGCTTCATAACTAAAATGCTCCATTCCTTTTATTAATTTTGTAGCTCGTCTCTGCGTTTTTTCTAGTGTCATATCCTTCTTTAGAACAGGTCCTCAAAATTGCACAGCATATTCAATGTGTGGTTTTACCAGTAATTTGTAAAGAGGCAAAATTATATTTTCATCCTGAGAATTAATGCTCCTATTTATACATGGGAAGGACAAATTTGTGCCTGATTGTCACTGTCAGATTCATGTAAGACATAAAGGGGAATGTATATAGTGCTTCTGTATCAAACAAAGATATGATAAGAGTGTGTGGCAAACCTAGCCACTTGGACTAAACAGAGACAATATGTTTTTAAGGGTTGCCTGTATATTTAATACCATTGTATATGTGCCTGGTTGTAATCTGCTGTATCCTATATGCTGTATTGCCTGTATTAGCTATCTGCCGAAAGCAGATAGTCATTTTCTATTTCGTTTCACGAACAGCGCCTTTACGGGCTGTTCGTGAACCAAATGAACTATCTTTCAATAGCCCACACACTAAGGGACGTGTGGCGCTTGTTAACCGATTGCAACAATGTTGCAATCAGTAATTAGAGGCTCTCCTAGGTGGCCGTCGTTCGGCTACCGACCACGCGGCGGTCGGCCATCTTGGATCCTTTGTTCCCCAGCTGTGTTTGGTCGTCGAGCGCATGGAACTGAAAACGGCTACTCGACGGCGCGAACACCGCTTGGCTTCCAGACCGTTCGAGAGTCCCGGGCCGTTCAGTAGTTTGGTCCACCTCTATCAATCAGTACTTTTAACCTGTGTTATAAATAATGTGTTTTTCGTGCGGCGTTCGGTTGTTTTAGCTGGGATCTGAGCGGTATTCTCACGAACTGTGTGCTCAGACCCCAGCTATCTACCGAACGTCCATTCTTGTAAATCAACCAAGTATTAAGGAAGTTATACATTTTAAAGTAAATTGCCGGTTCTGCTGCACGGAGGGATAATCCACTTAACGGTATATTCCCGTGGGAGTATCCCTCTCGTGCAGCAGTGTCTGATGGGAGAAATGCCCAGAATGTGAAGTCCCCCATGTAGTCCCCTACTGTGTTACCCCTGCTAAGTCAGTATGGAAATCCCTTGCATGTGGACTTGCATAAATACTGGAGCTGCAAATAAAGACCTCAGTTGACTCCCAGAACTGTGTTTCGTCCGGTTACTGGGGGATTTGGGATATTGCCTTGCTTTTCAGCGCTGACTGTGGATTACTGTATGTACCAGCAGAATTCGTGGGATTTAATATTGCCGATCCACTACAGTGTTTTGAGCAATGTCTTACACAAAATTACAAATGTAGGTGGTATTATCCCCACCAAGGTTATGCAGAGATCAGATGATCCAGAAGTGGCAGCCAATAGAATCCAATAGACAGCAAGGAAAGGAAATAATCCAAAATTTATTGGGAAATAAAAAAATAAACCCCAAGCATAAAAACAAAAGCAACACAATGCATTTAGTCAATAAAAGAGCTTTATCAAGTGTTTACAGAGGTCCTCACATCTTGACCTTAAATAGAAAAGGAGATTCAAATTCTTCCCAGGTATATTGTGTTATAAATCATGTGATCCAAACTACAGTCATATGACATAGTCCAACAAAAACAGAGAATACACAGTTGTTTAAGAACATTTTATCCGTAGTATTAATTTGGGGCATTTGTTAAAACATAAACGAGTACACAAAATAAGAAAAAGAATGTGGTTACATACTCGGAAAAACCAATCACCAAGTGATTGCAGCAGACTAATAAGAACAGAAGCTACAGTAAAGTGATATAAATCAAAAAGTTAAATGAACTGGAAAATGCATATAAAGTGAAATTTTTTTGGTATCCAAAAATGTAGTGAACCTCATAGAGGAGGTGATATGGTGAAAATACTAGGTAAAAAAATGGAGTGGGTTTTTTATTTGAAACCTTTAGCCCCTGAAGCTTTCAATTCATATTCTGATTTTAATTTACTGTGATTGCCCTATATCTTTTCTCTCTCTCTTCTGACACCATTTGGTGTAATACTGATGTTTATCCTCCAGTTGTCAATCACATGGTCATAGGTCACATGGACTGGTAGCCATCTTGATTTTGGCAAATGATTTCACACAATATTTTTATATGGTCTTCTCCATAACCATTTGTGCTACAGATATACAAATTGCTGTGCAAGTTCATGTTGTGACCTAGACTCAGAATTTATTCAAGACAAATATATTGGTCACATGGTTTAGCAGCCATACTGAATTGTGCAAATTCTTTAAAGAACTTAATCTCTGAAATTTAGAACAATATGAAATGTGGCACACATCTTCATGACAAGGTCCTCTACTACAGTTGTTCAAAGCAAGAAGATGTAAAATTGTAGATGGCTTCCGCATGTTAATTACATTAAAGATGTCTTTCATTTGCATTGGTGGGCATTTATTCCACTACTGAACTATAACACAACTTGCTAAACATATGATTACTGAATAACATAAATGCCAAAGGCCGTAAGGGGTTGAAAGTCACAAAGGTCGGTGGCCATTTTAAATTTGAAAGAAATGTAATATTCATAAACCATTGCCAATTTGTAGAGGTCTATGGTGAGCTGCTATATATGACAGGTCATATATAGGTCATATATGACATGCTGTGGAGGCCATTTTGTTTGTGTACATTTTTCAAAAATTGTAAAAATCTGCCTCTCTGTAACCTTTTATGTGACAAATGTGAAAATCCATTTGTAAAACTATGTTATGGTATATTCACATTTCTTCAAGAAAATTCAAGAAGTCATGTGATTATTAAAAATCTTCAAAGCGATAGTAAAACCAAAACACATTAAAATCAGTGTGCTGTTTTTGCTTTTGTGCTTGTAAATTACTTCTCTGCATGCACTTCCCATTGCATGCTCTGATGCTTGGCCATTCTTTTAAAGTCAATTAGGCATGTGATTTAGCAGCCATTTAGAAAAATAACAAATATCACATTGCATTTGTAAAATAACTGTAAAATCCAAACTACTTAACACATACTCTTCAAACGAATGTGGTGATAACAGTTAATGTGTGTTCTGCTTTTTGCAATATGATGTCCCTATGTCCAATGGTCTGGTGTCAATATTAGTTGATATGACTAATGATACAAATCCTAATATATTTTAATTTACATTTGTAACTTACTTCTTTATGTGCAATACCTATGCATGTGCTGCACCAAATTTCTTATGCTTGGCAAGAACTACTAATTAATCACACATGTAGTTTGGCTGCAGTTTTGAAATTGTCACAAATGTCTAAATTAACCATAATTCAACCACAAAATAAAAACAGGTTGATAGAAGCCCTTTAACCCCCTAAGGACCAAACTTCTGGAATAAAAGGGAATCATGACATGTTACACGTGTCATGTGTCCTTAAGGGGTTAAAATTGGTGCCATGATAAATATCATATAACAGTATGCTTTGCCATCTTTAATATGAACCCCATATGCCATGTGACAACCATATTAAATGACATAAGTAATTTTGAATAATGTTCAAATACATTTCTAGAAAAAAAACAAACATATATTAGTCTTGAGGTCAGCTGACAGCTAAGTTATGCTCCATGTGCCACCAATGATTCTAAGTGGCATTTCATCGCTAATGATGCACAGCATTTGTATACCTTTGGCTGTCTTGGGGCTGCTGTCTCTTCTTGACATGTTGGTTGTCACTAAGGACATTAGTGACAATAATGTACACAATAAATTCAAATTTGGTATGTATTCTAATGATAAATTCAGATTAACTAGGGGGTCACAGTTTTTTTTTTTTGTTTTTTTTTTACATTATACATATGGTGGAATATCACACAATATCACTGATCACCATGTTATCAGACATTATCAATCCTTCACTATCAAATTACATGGAATGTATAACTGGCACATAAACAAAAAGGTAAATCAGTCTGCTATATCATGTGAGAGAATGGAGAGGTTTGCTATTGAGATTACTCCCACTATAAATGTAGATGTAGAGAATGTAGCTCTGGAGCAAATGTGAAGATAATTGAGGGTCCATGGGCTAAATATAATTTTGCATTAGTTTACAGTTTAATACAATCATACACAATGTTGGGAATTTTCTGGTACACCTGGTCTTTAAGTCAGTCACAACTGTGTGGCTTTGGCTTAAACGACTACAGTTTTACTTTGTTAGTAAATAATGAGGATAGTTAACCGTTTCGCTAAATCTCAAGTATTACACAATTGTAAGGCACCAAAATATATTGTGTTGCATTTAAGTAACAAAATTGTTAAATCCAATCAAAACATTCTAATTAAAGGGACACTGTAGGCACACTAACCAATTCATCTTATTGAATTGATTATAGTGCCTGGAGTCCCCTGGTACTGTTCGCCATTTAGTGTTAAACCATTTTCTAGTAATTTAATACTGAATGAGGTTTTCTGGCTTCCCATAGCTCTGCACCCACCGGAGGTATGGCTAAAGCAGAGATTACATACTTCCTTATAGTCCTAATGATTCATACTTGCAATGGCAACGTGATAGGCTGAGTGAGGTTAGCTGACACTCTAAGCCAATCACAGCTACCCATGGTTCCTCATTAGCCAAAGTAGGACAAAGGGTTTTAGCATTAAAACATTAAATATGGTTTAATGCAGAAATGAAGGGCAGTTCCAGTGGACTCCAGACTTTGAAACTCTAAAAGTAGAAAGTGTGGAGTAGTCCTAAATATATATAAAATTTTCATATCAACTATAATAAACCTGCATGTGATAAATACATATAAAATATATGATTACATAAATTGTAATCTTGGTAACAGATTCTCTTCAGAACTTTGAAGTAATACAGTAAGGCTGCCTGAAACAGACATTAATACAAGCACATTTATTTTGAAATATTTTAAATAATGTGTAATTTTTAAAATGTAATAAAATATAATTTTCTGCACAGCAGAAAAATATCAATGGATTTATATTGTGTAAACAATCTGTTTCTGTAAACATAGAAAAGCACGTGTTCAAGATTCATTTCAGTTCGATTGCAACAAATATAAATTTGAGCACTATTAAATAATATTAAAAAGAGATTCCACAGGAAGCCGAAATTGTCATATGTCCATTCTTGATGCTTTAGTTGCTAATGCCCATTTTGTTATATGCAAAATGGGAACAACTTTAGATAGTCCTTTAAAACCCTGTTGATAGGGATGTGGTCCAAGTTTTCTTTCCCAAAAGTTTTTAAAATGCTTTTTCGACAGAGTTCTTGCAAAGGTCTCAACCTAACTTTTCTTAATGGCACCACTAACATCTTTTTGGGGGAAGTCAAATAATGTTCCACTAGTTGAAAAAGACAGTTAAATGACTCTTTGCTTCCATCCAAACTAAATTGCCCAGCTTGAAAAATAATCCTTATACTAATAGGTCCTGTTGCAGTTCTAACACTAATTGCAAAAAAGCAATTTTTTTGCTTGCTGTCTCTGATAAGAAAAGTACCCACTGGCTCTGGTTTTAGTTTCTCATGAGCAGTCTTCACTGTCATGGGTCCCCAGTAGAATCCACAATCATCCAGCAGGCTGCTGGTCTTTGTGATAACAGCAAACTCAAAGTTAGAGCGGAAGGTACTGAAATGAGTATCACTGAGCAGGATAGCAGGAAGGGGACGTCCAGGGCTATGGTGGATGTGTCTAGCAGGATGGATTTGTGAATGGTCACGGACTGGGATTTCCAGATGTGGACATCTTCTATTTGCAACTGCATTATCTGCTTCCACCTTGCTGTGTGCTACCATCCTATAAATTTGAGCAACCTATGTGGTCTTCCATAGTTTCTCTTCCAGCCACGGTGCTGCAGTGAATGTTCTGAAAAACAAAAAGGAAAAATATATAAATAATAATTTAGTCACAAACTGAAAAAAAAAAAAGACTTCAGTTGATTAAAATTCAGTATTTCACACATCTGTATTACTGCTGTTGATCCAAAAAAGGGAAAAAAATTAAAACAATTTTAAAAATTTCTTAAAATTGGAGAAAAGAATCTTCTTGACTCCAAAATTGCAGTCAGGTTTGTTCTCGCATTAACAAACTGTTACCACATTATGGCACCCTTGAATATTCTGATTTAAAAGAAAAACATCATCATCATCCAGACTCTGTTTAATAAAAATCTTTACGGAATCTAATAAAATATATGAGGAATTCTTTAGACACAATACTTTAGGCAGAAAATTCCGCATCTTTATTGTCCATACTGTAAAGTACCAATGTGTAACTTTGCAACTATATACATTAAATATTATCTGCCATTTGGCTGCCTAGTCCCATAATTTGTGCTTGGTTTGTTTCCTCTATAGACAGTGACACGTGACTTTCAAATCCCATTGCAAGATCACTGATGCACAGGGTGAAAATAAGTGGATCCAGAACTGACCCCTGAGGAACTCCACTTATGATCTTGGTCAACTTGAACACTTTCCAGTAACAATTCTGCACCCGATACTTAAGGCAATGTGTTCTCCAACAGCAACACATTTTATCTAAACCAACTGCTTTTGAATTTGAACAGTAACCTCTCCCAATGCACTGTATCAAATCTCTTTGCTTACCTTGCAACAACCTAATCTATACTTCTACTGACTTCTGCTTGGGCTGCAATTAAAATTGTTTGAAACAATTGAATACGACCCCGTGATATACCTCCAAATAATGTCCCAAGTACCGAGGTTTTAGAAAAGCTATAAGCTGAAATCTATCATTGCTGTTTTCAATGCATATGATCCATGAACATTTAAAAAGATTGTGTTCAACAGAGTTTGCAAAAATATTATTTAAATAACTTTTCTTTAACCTTTTTTTTTTCTTCAGACAAACTGTAGGTGGCAGTTTACCAGGAAGTTACAGCTCAAATGTTTAATGACCATTTAGCACGAAGTGCATGATTCTCTATGCTGTAAATACATCTTCCCACATCTAAAGAAAAAAAGAATTTGAATCTCAATTCGCTATGCTTTCTGTACTAATTGCAAACTAAAATGCTAGTATTAGGAATCACATTTGCTTGTATATGGGTGCCCCTGCTAAACAACATTTTCTTGACCTGGTGCACTTACAACACAGGGCTATGAAAATGCAGTTTATTATTGGTACCTCAGCAAAGGCAAATTTCTATACCACACAGTTTATGGCACTGCAGGCAAGGTGCAGATAAAGGCCCTGTGGGATTTGCTCAACCAGTATATAAAAAGAGGCCCATGATATCTGATTTAAGATCAACCCATTGCTGTCAACCCAGAGAGGAATTCCATATAACCATCTGGGTGATTTGGGTGGCGCAACTCGGGCAGTTCAAGCCCATCCCTGCTTTGGACCTAAATGACATATTTCTTGCCAATATATCTCTTATTTTAGTCTAATGTATGTTAATGTTTCTTTTTTATTTTATTACCTAATGGTATAACCTATGTTTTACAATTCATTGTAGTTTCCCGATTATGTGTTTAAAGATATTCATTTTGAGTTATTCACTAAAGTACAAATTCAATGTGAATTTCAAACTTGAGATCTATATAGCTGATTGGGAAAAAATATTAAACATCTAATTTCCAATTTGTCTCCTTTGACCTAAAAATTTAATTTCACCTTGTATTTGCCATAGATATAACTCGAGCGATGGAACTTGCTACTAAATATGTACACATGCTTCATGCCTCAGCTCAAGCAGCTTGTGACAAGCAATAAGTGGATATTTTTCGTACAAGTATGTACCTAAGTGACCAATATCCAGCTCAACAACAACTGCCAATGTGTTACAGATGTGGTGAAAAAAGCCACGTGGCATATTCCTGTAAGTTTAAGAAAAGTATCTGCTATAGTTGTGGGAAAATTGGTCATACAAAAAGAGTATACAAGAGATTCCTCAGACAGAAATAACAATAACAAGAAAGGCAAGTCATATTCAACTTTATGGATAAACCAAACAGATCGCGATGAAGACATAACATTATACAAATTATGAATCTGTCATCTTGAAGAGACAATTCCAGAACTGCAAGCACATAGTTATATACATGGTAAATCTCTTGCTATGGAAGTGGATTCAGGAGGAGCAGACTTTGTCATCACTTCTGCGAAATGGGACAAACTGGGGCTAGAACACTATTTTTTTACCAACAGCTGTCACCATGCAAACATATACAAATAAGATAATAAAACCTACTGTGTGTGTGTATGACCTACCATGACATTTAATGGTATAACTAAACTACTACAACTCTAGATTTTACCTAAAAAAGGTGGCCACCACTGTTCAATAGATCCTGGATTAATGCTTTGAGCATGCCAAAGTTATCACAACAGTTACCTTGTAATAATACAATAGACCAAAATAATAGTTAAAATTCTACTTAGATTGAAACACTAAACCCAAAATACTGTATTTGATTGGACAATAGGTTTAGGCAGGGGCAAGTAAGTTTGGCTTCATTTAAATACAAATTCTATTCCAAAATTTTGTAAACAAAGAGTTGTACGTTTTGCAATGAAACCTAAAATTGAAGCAGCACTGGAATAATTACAACATCAAAGTATTATTATTAAAATTTAGAGCAATAGCATCTGTTAGAAAAAAATGGGAACATTCAAACTTGCTAAAAAAAATGGTGAAAAGGATGTTGCTCATAAAGCAAACATTGAAGCTGTTTTGTAAGTCCTTCAGGAATTTGGACTGAAAATAAACATGCAGAAGTGTGAGTTCCTACGTTATAGTTTGGAGTATTGTGTACATATAGTGGACAAGACTGGTCTCCATACGACTGAGGAAAAAGTGAAAGCGTTAGTTCATGCTTCCACCCAACTACAAGCAGCAGAGACATAGATCTGCATCAGTTAAAATACAATCCAAGCACTCAGATACTGGGGATATCTGGCGTTGAGTATGGTGTCCAGCGGAGTATCCTGAGGGTGAAAATACAGAGCCAGAAACTGACTAAAAACAACATAAGAATGATCACGTTTAGTAACAAAATCTCACTGGTGATCTACAGCCCTTGGTACACCTCCAGTGACTAGTTTTCCCTAACTTAGCCCTCTAGGCAAAGAAAACCAACCTCTGAATATGAATATGGACTGAATATGGACTGTGCCCTGGATCTTACTGTAGCGATAAACTATTCTAAGTGCGAGTTTATTATTTAGTGGTTTATGTCTATTTATGTAGAATGTTAAAGTTATCCAAAGTCTTTCACTGATATTTTATTTTTGCTAGAGGGGTGTTGTGAGGACAGCATCTTTAAAGATATGCTATAGGCACCCAGACCACTTCATCTCATTGAAGTATTCTGGGTGCACTGTCCCTGTCCCCTTAACCCTGCAATCTAAAATGTTGCAGTTTCAGAGAAAATGCAATGTTTATATTGCATGGTTAAGACTGCTTCTAGTGGCTGTCTACCAGCTTTTTGCTGTTTCAAGGAGTTTAACTCAGTGAAATGACTTTGTATGAGAAAGACCACTGTCTTAAAAAAGGTTTAAAGCATGGGTGCATTAGGTTCGTACTTGCCACTAACGTTGGAGGAAGCAGAGATGGAGCCAGCATTGAGGGGTGCATGAGGGAGGGGCGGGGCAGAGGGACACTATAGTGTTAGTAATACAAAGGTGTATTACTGACACTATATAGTGTTCCTTTAAAAAAAAAAAAATGCAGGACACATTCCATGAAATGTCTAGGCCTTTGTGTGACAGTTGGAAACCATTTTGAGTTGTTACTGAGGTATTGGCTAATAAAGCGAATATGTGCTTGAGGCCGAATGATAAACTGATTGAAATCCATGTACCAGAGTGATAATGGGGACAGTTACTGTCATAAGGTAATAACATAATGTTAAAATCAAGAACACCCAGGAAACATAATAGCACTTTAGTAAATAGCCGTGCCCTTATCCTATTTAAATTGTCTTTTTTTTTTTACAATTTGATGTCCTAGTGAAGCCCATAAAAGTTTTTTTTGAACTGATGATAAATTGCACCATATTACAGTAATTATTTCCCGAAGTTCTCCCTTACTTAAATGTTCAACAAAAAGTCAACATTATTTATTATTACCAGATCAAGAGAAGCAGCTGTTCCAGTTGATGCTTCTACTAATTGAGACACAAAGGTGTAATTTAACATGTTTAACCCCTAAAAAAAACAACAGTTTATCCTTGCTGAACCAGTGATATACAACTGTCCTGACTAATTTCAGTGACTCAGTGCACTGCTGCCAGTCTATACCAATGTCTGTGTGTTGTTTGGGAAGGAAGCGGTTATCTACACCAACCAAACCACAGAGTTTCTATTTACAGCGCCACCAGGGAAAACCCACATATTCAGCCAAATGGCACCTGTAACAACACTCATACTAAGCCAAATCCCATTATTACTGCAACACTCATCCTCTCCACACAGACACAGCAATGGGCCACCCCATAAATACAGCATCTCCACAGACTATGCACACACACACAAACAGTTACAACCTCCTCCCATAGTTTGCCCCCAAACACAGTACACACAAACTCTCTATATGCACAGCATACAGAGCTTCCCCCCAAACGCAAACATCCTATGTCCCCACACATACACACACACACAGACTCCAAAAACACACAATAGTACAAGCAGCCTCCGTACACATGCAAAACTCTCACATGTAATATTCAACACACAGCATTGAGTTGGGGAGACAGTGGGACAGAAAGAATGAAACGGACAGTGGTCGACAGACTGGCAGGGAGATCACGAGAAAAAGAGACCAGTGATTTGGATAACAGACATGTTATCAGACATAACACACATGCAGCATGAGATGGATGGCAAGACACAGAAAAAAAAGACTTGTAGAAAACTTTGCACAGGTCTGTCTGTCTGTCTGTCTGTCTGTCTGTCTATCTATTTATATTTCAAAATGCAAGCTTAGACCTTAAAAGTTACTTGCCACTGCCAGCCTGGAGGGTACATCCATAAAAATGTCAGCCTGGAGGGTACATCCATAAAAATACATACATAAGTTATTTACATTGTTTTCTTGAAAACTATATAGATATATGCACCCGTACAAACATACTAACAAATACACATTTCCACGCACGCACATACACAGTATGCTCTTCCAGACACACATACACAACTTCACTTGCTAGTTCCTATGCAAACGTACACAAAGACACGCATTCGCGTACACACACACACACACACACAAAGGCACACCATCAGGCTTGTACAAAAATTCACTCACTCATATATACTGCTACACTCACTTCCAGATATAAACTTTATGCACACACTTAGATATGCATTGTGCACACACAGACAATTAGATACAAACACAGGCGCATACAGATACACACAGATTGATATTTTTTGCATACATTGCATACACTTTCTGTGTGTTCTGGAATGAAGTGACATGGAATCACTTCCTTACGGTACTGCCGTGTCAAAAGATGGTGATCCAAGCCAGTCTGTTCAGGAACCTTGACCAATGCAGCAGATAAATGTGATCTGGACGGGGAGAGAATTCTATCTCCCAAAGAGATACCTCGTAACACGGTATAGGACAGAATGTTGGGGATTATTCTCTTGCTCTGTGTAAGGCCAACTCTAAAATAAATGTCTTCTAAAAATCTGTATTTCTCTAGTTTTATATTACTGTTTTTGTATTTCTGTATTTTTATATTTTATATTTTTGCACTCTATAACTTGCAAAATGGTGTTGGATATGTCTTGATTTCAGTTCACCTTGGTGTGTATGGCTTGAAAAGTGCTGCCCTTAGTGACACTATATTGGTGTGGCAGTACTTTCCATGTCTTGCACAGCAGTTTGCTAAAATACTGTATTCTCCTTTGATTGCCAGGCCACGTCCAATAAGTCAGCACTGGCTTCAAGGTAAATTTTTATATAAAAACGAGGTGCAAATGAACCAAAAAGGGGGGCCCCATTAATCTAAATGAAGACTTTAATGCACTGAAAGCAGTATAAGAGCATGGAATTGGTGGGACTATAGTGTCCTTTTAAGCAAAGCTCTATTGCTAGATAGCTTACATGTTATTGTGGGTTTAAATTAAATACAAACACACAATTCTCAATTTCCTCTACATAATTTAAAAAAATCCTCAGCAGAAAAGATACTCAAATGTGTAATCCTGTCTTGCCTCAAAATACAGCCTGCTTTTTATAAATAGTGAACAGTTCTACGATAAACCATAGGTCTCTGTGCCTGCCCTTCAGCCTACTACTCACTATTTACTCGGATTTAGAATATGGTCCACAATAAATTGCTTCCTACCAATACATCTTTAACCCCTTAAGGACCAAACTTCTGGAATAAAAGGGAATCATGACATGTCATGTGTCCTTAAGGGGTTAAACATCTGTGAGAGAGACAGCATGGTTCAATAAATCTTTGTTGATTGACTTGACTTTATCTGTGCTTGGGATTTTAGAATTCAGCCCTTTCTGGTAGAGGTAGTATACACTTATTGACTGCATCGGTAAATGGCTGAGAAGCAAGAAGGCATTCTCAGAAGCAATTCCCAATAGCAGTTTTTAAAGGTACTCTAGCCCACAGTCATTGATTTGAAAACAACCATTTAGGTTGATTGCTGTTTCTCTGAATGGTCCAGGACAGAAGTGACTCTAGTCCATCAGAAATCCAAAGCATAATATTTCTATGGATTATGAGCCCTTACCGCCTGCCAGCAATTAACTTCTTTTAAACCAAATCAGTCCAAAAACTGCTAAATTTTACATTATATTAAAATTATACAACCAGAAATTGGAAGGCATTTAAGTTATATTAAAAAAAAAAATCATGTCCATGTCCATATTTTGTAATTTATACCCCGAGCAGGTCTGGATTTAGTCAGGATGAAGACTTTAATGCACTGAAAGCAGGGACAGATTAAGAGCCCAGTGGGCCTGGTGCTGACAATTATGACGGGCCTAGTTACAAAATTTTATTGACCAAAAATACTAAAACAGTCCTACCTCCTAAGCGTCATGTATCTGATGGAGATGGTGCTGGAGGGAAAGTCATAGGATGCAGCTATGAGAAAACATCTTTCGAGTAAACCCATACCCCCTAACAGCAGTGTCCAGTAAAGCAGGAAGTCTATGGACGGGGAAAAAGGGTGGGCCACTGACACAAATCACATAACCAGAACTGCCGAAAGGGGCGAACATACACAAAAAGGGGGCATGTCTGTGTCCCCATGTCTCCCAGTCCCTTAGTGTCTGTGTCCCCATGTCTCCCAGTGTCCCTATATCACTAGGACACTAGGGTACATTGAGAGACATTGAGACACTGAGAGACCTGGGGACACAGACTCTTGGGGAAACTGGGAGACATGGGGACACTGGGTAACTTTGAGACATGAGAGGACACTGGGAGACATGGGGCACAGACACTGTGATACATAGGGGACACTGATATATAGGGGACACTGGAGACTTGATAAAGACCTGGGTACAGGTCAAAATGTTGCGGTGTCCAATAAACCTGCTTAAATTTATCACAGTGAGTGCCTGCGATTTTTTTTATTTTATACTAGGGGACACTGAGACACTTGGGGGTGCTGTGAGACATGGGGACACTGGGAGACTAGGGGACACTGAGACACTAAGGACACTGAAACACACCAGGGATACTGGGAGACATGGGGCACTGAGACACTCTGATACACAAGGGACACTGTGATACATAGGGCAAACTGGAGACTTGATAAAGACCTGGTTACAGGTTGAAACATTGCAGTGTCCAATAAATCTGCTTAAATCTATCACAGTGTAATAATAACTACCTATTTCCAGAGCTAAAAGACGCTGAATGTCGGTGTTAGCTGGAAAGGAACACAAGATGAGGAAATGTATGCTCTTTGATAGAACGCTGCACACCACTTATATTAATGGTCAGATAGCAAATCCAAAGCCAACTGGCTATACCTCTACCTACTCAGAAAAATAGATGATATATGCAGAAATAGATAAAGAATATAAAGTCGTCCAATTGTCCTAATCTCTGACTTTATTGAGCGAGGTCTCTATCAGGAGTTGGATTTTCTTATATCACACTGAGTAGGTGTCTAGGATACAGGGAGCAGATGGCTGATGTCATTGATTCTACCATATCATAATATAGAACTAGTAGAAGGTTGTTTGTAATTACAAATTGTTGCAATCTCTCTTCTCCTAATTTTGGTTAATGCAATTCAATATAGGAGACAGTTTGAGTGAAGAAACTGAGTCAGATAGCTGTCAGGTTAGGGCTTCTGTATTATCACAGTGTTGCAATATTGTTGAAAAACGGAGAGAGCATAAAGAGGATACTAATTAGCTACAGTTGCTTTAACCCTCAGTTGTATGGGGTTGGTAACTTGTTTCAGATTGCAGCCCCTATCTACTGCTCTTATCTAATGCCTGTCTTGAATAAACTTGAAGAATTAAAAAATAAGCGAAAAATCTCTCTGTGAACTAGAAATGATTGAGTAATTATTAACTCATAAGGTATTCACAGGCAGAATAGAGATAGGAGTAGAAATATAACAGCTTCTCTCTGATTGCTCACTAGACTTAAATCTATCACAGTGAGTGCCTGAGATTTTTTTTTATACTAGGTGACACTAGGAGACATGGGGACACTAGGGGACATTGAGACACTGGGAGACTAGGGGACTTTGGGAGACTAGGAAACACAGACACTGCGGACACTGAGAGACACCTGGGACATGGAGACAAGGGGATACTGAAATACTAGGGACACTGGCTGGAAGACATGGGGACACTGGGAGTGCCCCATGTCTCCCAGGTCTCAAAGTCGCCCAGTGTCCTCATGTCTCTCAGTGCCCCCTAGTGTCTCAGTGTCCCCATGTCTCCCAGTGTCTCCCAGTGTCCCAATGTCACTAGGACGCTAGGGGACACTTAGAGACATTGGGACACTGGGAGACATGGGGACACTGAGAGACATGGGGACACTGAGAGACATGGGGACACTGAGAGACATGGGGACACTGAGAGACATCAGGGACACTGAGAGACATCAGGGACACTGGGAGACATCAGGGACACTGGGAGACATCAGGGACACTGGGAGACATCAGGGACACTGGGAGACATGGGGACACTGGCTGGGAGACGTGGGGACACAGAGACTAGGGGCCACTGGGAGACATGGAGCCACTGTGTCCCTAGTGTCTCAGGGTCCCCATGTTCCCCAGTGTCCCAATGTCTCAGTGTCCCCAAGTCTCTCATCGTCCCTATGTCTCACAGGCTCGTAGCTGCTGTCTGGACTCTCTGTGCAGAGCTGCTCCCCCGCGGATCAGTGAGTAGAGAGAGGCAGATGCTGTAACTTCTTATCCCTGCCTCTCTCCACACAAACAGTGACCCCTACTGGCTGGCGCTGGTATTGCAGAATAATCTCTCTTTATACTTTGACATTTGTATTGACGGTATTAGTGCAATACCGGCACCCCCTAGGCAGCCTCAAATACCTGATAAATACTTCTGAGAAATACCTGGCAACCATAAGAAATACATGAGAAATACCTGGCAACCCTAATAGTAGTGTGTGTAAAAAAAAAAAAAAAGAAAAAAAAAATATATTTTTTTTTTTAAATCAATGGGCCTATTCCATGGGCCTGGGCCTGGAGCTGCAGCTCCATCAGCCACTATGTTAATCCGGCCCTGACTGAAAGCAGTATAAGAGCATGGAATTGGTGGGACTATAGTGTCCTTTTAAGCAAAGCTCTATTGCTAGATAGCTTATATATTATTGCGGGTTTAAATTAAATACAAACACACAATTCTCAATTTCCAGACCGAGTCCTGCCAGACAGCTGAAATCTGCACCTGAATGCCTCAAATCCAAATTTAAAAATAATTTGGCAGCCTGCAGCGGTAGCAGCCAGTGTGCAAATAGTTAAAAGTCCTCAGCAGTTCATAATGTGTCAGCTGGCTAGCGCTTGTTAGCCAGCCACCGCATTAAATAGTTAAAAATATATATAATAATAAATAAGAACCCTGTGAGAGTCAATGCGACTATTACTGCAAGGGAGGTTTCAAAACTCCCTATGGCCTGTTTACCATGCAGCAGGTGGGAGTGAATCTACTAAAAGTTTAAAATTAACAAATAGGCAGCCATTGCCGCCTAGTCACTAGAAAGGACCCATCCCATGGGATAAGGCCTGTAATTTAATAGTACTTAAAATTATCATTTGCTTGTAAAAAAAAGCAGATTAATCTGCTAGTTACATTAAGATCCATTTTTTTTTTTTTTTTATCATTACTTTGTGAATATTCCTAATTCTACAGTTTGCAAAGGATTCGGATCAAATGTATCTGGGCTATTGCTGCAAATTCGCTCAGCCCACCCGAATCCTTATCGTATATGGATTTATCAAATATGAGAATTGAAGTTGCGGTCGACATGAACTAAGTCATTTTCAGGGGATTTTACCCATCTGGACAAAATCTAGTGTTTCGTGAATAACCCTATTTGAATACCACTCCCTCCCTAGTTGTGTAAAGCCATTTGAGTGGATTACAGCAGTAAAGCTCATGTGGAAGAAGACTTCCGGATTAGCCTAACCAACTTTGGATGACAATGATAGCATAGCAAGGAGTGCTTGAGACAGGCTAGCCCAGTGCTCTCAGCTTATCACTGCTGCCCTAAATTGGCTAATGGGAACAGGTTTAATTACTGGGGACTTTGACACATAACTGGATAAAGGCATCAAAATGATATTACAACAGTTACACTATAAAGAGCTGTAGATCTTATAGTGCTTAGAATGCCCCTTTAAATGAATAACATGGCACACGCTGGAATGTTTAATGAGAAGTGCTTCAAAGTAGACTTTACACCTCTTATATCCAGACCGTTACTTTAACCCCTTAAAACCGGAGGGCGTACTATTACGCCCTATTCTAAGCATCTCTAAACGCTGCAGGGCGTAATAGTACGCCCTCCATTTTTTTTTTTTTTAACTTACCCGGTCGCCGGCGTGGATCGCCTGCGGTTGGGGAGACCCACCTGGGATCCCAGGGAGTCCCCCTGCCTCCTAAAATTAAATTAAAATCAGTGTAAAAAAAAATAATATACTTAGATCATAGATAGATAGATATATATATATATATATATATATATATATATATATATATATATATATATATATATATATATATATATATATATATAAAATCTAAGTATATATACACACACACACACACACACACACACTGTCTAGGTGTATTTTACTATTAATATATATATATATATTAATAGTAAAATACACCTAGACAGTGTGTGTGTGTGTGTGTGTGTGTGTGTGTGTATATATACTTAGATTATATATATATATATATATATATATATATATATATATATATATATATATATATATATATAATCTAAGTATATATACACACACACACACACACACACACTGTCTAGGTGTATTTTACTATTAATATATATATATTAATATCAAATTACACGTAGACTGATACTGATTAAATATATAGTGTATATATATAACTTTCCAAGACACCATAAAACGTGTACATGGGGGGTACTGTTTTTCTCGGGAGACTTCGCGGAACACAAATATTAGTGTTTCAAAACAGTAAAATGTATTACAACGATGATATCGCCAGTAAAAGCATTTTTAAAAGCATTTTTCACACACAAACAGCACTTACATGGACGATATTATCGCTGTGATACTTTTTACTGTTTTGAAACACAAATATTTGTGTTCAGCGAAGTCTCCCGAGTACAACAGTACCCCTCATGTACAGGTTGTATAGTATTTTCAAAAGTTACAGTGTCAAATATAAGGCTTGTGTTTCAGTTTTTTCACATTACAATTTGCCAGTTTGGTTACGTTGCCTTTGAGACCCTATGGTAGCCGAAGAATGAAAATTACCCCTATGATGGCATACCATTTGCAATAGTAGACAACCCAAGGTATTGCAAATGGGGTATGTCCAGTCTTTTTTAGTAGCCACTTAGTCACAAACACTGGCCAAAATTGGCATTTTTTGCATTTTTCACACACAAATGGCTACTAAAAACAACTGGACATACCCCATTTGCAATACCTTGGGTTGTCTACTATTGCAAATGGTATGCCATTATGGGTGTAAATTTCATTCCTGGGCTACTATACAGTCTCAAATGCAACGTAACCAATCTGGCGAATTTCAATTTCAAATGTAATGTGCTATATTTGACCCTGTAATTTCCCAAAACACCATAAAACCTGTTTTACACGTGAGACTTTGCTGAATACAAATATGTGTATTTTTATGTAGTAAAAGCAAAATGTATAATGACATTGACAGTTACAATGTCATGTAGAACTAAACAAATGACAACATTTATTATTTTCTCCCATTTTTTTCTTATTAAATTATGTTTCATAGTAAAATATTTGATATTAAATGAAAGCCCTGTTTCCCCTGAATAAAATGATATATAATAAGGGTGGGTGCATTTAATATGAAAGAGGTGAATTACGATTGAACAGACATGTAGCGCAAATGCCAGGTTTTGTTTACGTTTTGTTTTGTTCACAACGTGTACATTTGGCTCAGTCCTTAACCCCTTAAGGACACATGGCGTGTGACATGTCATGATTCCCTTTTATTCCAGAAGTTTGGTCCTTAAGGGGTTAAACCACCACTATAGGCACCCAGCCCACTTCAGCTTAATGAAGTGGTCTGGGTGCCAGGTCCAGCTAGGGTTAACCCCTTTTTTTTTTTTATAAACATAGCAGTTTCAGAGAAACTGCTATGTTTATAATAGGGTTAATCCAGCCTCCAGTGGCTGTCTCATTGACAGCCACTAGAGGCACTTCCGCGCTTCTCACTGTGATTTTCACAGTGAGAAGACCCTTGCGTCCATAGGAAAGCATTGAGAATGCTTTCCTATGGACTGGCTGAATGCGTTCGCGGCTCTTGCCGCCCATGTGCATTCAGCCGAAGAGGAGGAGAAGAGAGAGGAGAGGAGGAGGAGAGCTCCCCTCCCGGCACTGGAGAAAGAGGTAAGTTTAACAGTACCAGTCTATACCGGAACGATATCCAGTTTGTATTATTATTAATTATTATTATTATTATTATTATTATATGTTTATGATGTATAGAGTAACCTACACCCATTTTCAGTTCTGAGAGTGGCTTACCACTACAATGATTTGTAAATACCACTGCTATAAGCTGATCTCACGGTCCCAACTTGCACTAAAACACAGTTGGCAGCTCTGAACACAAACCAGTTCACAAAATCGTCAAGCTGGATTGGTATGGCTGTAATCTGTTTTATAGAGTTGTGTAATTCATTCCATGTGATGACTTTAATTAGTGCTGAGGGATAAATTACTTATACCATAAACTGTTTCTGGGATAAGATCAGACCTCATATATCAGAATAAGAGGCACCTGACTGGTAGAGTGTATTTCTGGTGAGCGAAGGGCCTGCATTAAGCTACTGTTAGCTTCCCTAAGCTATGCAGCCTCGGAATCTTGGTAAGTGGGTATTTTTCATGTTCATTTTTGTAGCAGTTTAATCATGCACTAAAATTAGAAGGTAGTTTGTGATTATTCTTATAGAAATATGTATTTATAACATTAGTTTGTCCATAGTCCCATCCGGATTCAGGGTTTCTCTGTATAGACTACCACTCATAAATAAAAAATTTGAGCACCATAACCACTACAGGGAAATGTAGTGGTTATGGTGCCAAGATTACCCTGCTCTCCACCACATTTGACACAGTTTGAACTCTTACATAGGGTCCATCAAGCATCACTCCCAATTTCCACTGTTTCCTATAAAGAGCCGGAAGGTCTCCATCTGACCTAAGCACTGTGGTGCAGGGCTTAGCTAACTGACTGAGTGTGATCAGCTGACGCTCCTACTTAAGAGCTTCCCAGGGCCCACAGAAGGTAGTGGTTTAAATACTAACAATAGGGGGTACCAAAGCACTCCTGGCACCATTATCAGTTGCAATGGTTATGGTGCTTGAAGTGTTTCCTTGATCCAGTGGCTTCCAGCCTCCTCCTTCAACTGGATGGATGATTTCAGCCAATCAAATGCTTCTCCATAGAAAAGCATTAATGGCCCTATTGCGGATGCATAACAATTGGTGCCCTGTGCCAATAGATATCTAGTAGCTGTCAGACAGAGATGTTTGTCTGACAGCTTCTAGATGCACACAAACTTACAAATGTAAATAGAATTCAAAGAGAATTTAAACTTTAAGGCCAGAGCAGCTGAACTCAAATCATAGCCGACTAATTTACTATTTTGACCTTAAACTGAAAATTTACTTTCAATTTTCACTTTAGTTAATAATCCAGAGTGTCCTGACTCTGACCTCTCGTTTTATGACAAATATTTAGGAAGAAATCAACATAAATAATGTAAAAATGACACATCATCCATTTACTACATTTTCATTAATTACATAAAATCTGTATGGCCATGATTGTCTGAGAGGGATGTGCTGGGTTAACCTAGCAATCCCAGTCAATCAGTTCCATGAGGTTGGCAATGCATAGAGGAAGTGGTCTAAGGTCAGGGATAGATTACAGTCAAGTCAGTTTTAGGAATCTGAATAGGAGATTAGATAGGGGAAGTTGGTCGGTTTCTCTGAATATGTGAGTTTTTAGAAAACATTAAACTGTGGGATGTGATGAGGTGTCTGAAAAAAAAAAAAAAAAAAGAATGGTAATTAATTCCAGAGAATACATTCTGGGAACTGGACACATTTTTTTTTCCTTTCATTTTTTGTTTCCTTATGACCATTGTATGTTAATAATTATACTCCCTCCCTTGCTACACGGGTTTATTTCTATTTATTGTGTTTTCTTCCTTGCGCTGGATCTCAATCCCTCCATTTTGTTCTCCTCTGCCCATCTCTCCCCTGTCTGCAGACGGTCCTTCTGTGGTAATCTTTTGACTGATGGATTGTGGGCAAAATTAGTTTAGCTACTGAAATGGAAGGTGGGAGGGAGCCAAAGGGGAGAGAGCAGCAACACTTAGTGTCACTAACTCTGCCCCAATTACTGATGGGTCACACCAGGTTGCCTATCCATTATTTAAGCTAGCCCACTAGTGTTCCCAAAAGCGGGACAGCAGAGAACTATGTCAGGAAAGAAGGACAGGACCCAAAAATTAGAACTGTCCTGACGAAATCAGGACAGCTAAGAAGCATATTAAATCTGAGTATTGTCAGCATATAGATGATATTGAAATCCAAACGATTTAATAAGGTTACCGAGAAAGACAGCGTCCATGGAGAATAAAAGAGCAACTACAGACACTTGGGGAACATCACCGGAGATGGGCAGTGGAGAGGAGGTGGCACTAGTGAAGGAAACCCTAAATGAGTGTTCAAAAAGATAGGATGCAAACCAGAAAAAAATCGGGTATAACTGTGTGGTCAAGTTGCTAGCCACTTTGGTAAGGGCAGTTTCAGTAGAGCGGAGGAGCGGAAGCGAAACTGAAGAGGGTTAAGGAGATAGTTAATAGTGAAGAAGTGAGTTACACGGGTAAACACAAACTGCTCAAGAAGTGAAGAGTAGAGATGTTGCGAACCGCAAGAATGCTGTCCAGGAAGTAGGAGGGTCTGGGAGGGAGGGTCTGCTGGAGATTGGCCGGGACGTGTCAGCTGACCCGAGTTCGCCGCGAACAGCTCGTGGCGAACCGCGGCGAACCATTCGCGGACGGTTCGCGACATCTCTAGTGAAGAGTAGTTAGGAGAAGCAATATGAAAAGATAGCTTTTGTAGCTCCGCCCATTGCCAGAAAAGGCCAAAGATCATGCGTCCAATAAGAAAAAATATATATAACAAGGAGAAATAGAAGGACAAACAAAGTATTAAATTTTAAAACAAAACCTTCAAAGAAATTGGTATTCATTATGGGTGGGAGAAATGCTATATGGTAGAGAGGAAGGCCTCGCAAGGCTGAATTGTGGTAAAAAACAAACCAAAAAAAATGCTCTTTGTTGTGGGTGAACATACAGTAAATAGGATGACAATCAAATGTCTCCTGCAACCCACAAACAGTACTGCTAGTTTCCAATGGTTAAAAAATACTCTAGCAAATTATCATATAAAACACTTTCAGCAACACCAATTCTTGCACATATACATCAGCAATAATGGAAAGTAATGTAATGTATACACGGATTGCACTGATTTACCAGCTACACCATTGCAACCCTATTCTATTTAAAACCAATTTCACCAATTTGTGAAATACTGACTCGGGCATATTAAATATATATCCTAAATAGATGTGCTGTATTCTTAACAACTCCAGAGAGCTTGGGTGACATCATGTACCTGCTGACTCTCTGCAAATTAGGATAGTACACATTATGTGTATATGCCAGTTGCTTTTACTGGCTTAGGTACATGTTTGATGGGGAAGGGGGG